CTGCTGCGCCGCGCAAGCCCTTCTCGCCTTGCCCTGCCCTGGAGGTGGCCACCAGGTTGGTTCCCGGGCTGCGCCGGAGAGGCTGGGGTTAGTCCCCCCTCCACAGGGCAGGCAGTGGCTGCGATCCCTGTCAGTCAGCGCCGAAAGGAAGGGGAAGCCGGCTTGGGACAGCCCCTCGCCCAAAGGGGGAGGGGGAGGCTGGGCAGGGTTGCCTTGCCACGATTGCTCCATGGAGGAGTCGCCGAGCCGGGCCCCTCGCTGGGCGATTCCCTCCGCCCCCTGGGATGCGCCGGGGCCCAATGGCGCGCATATGGGCCGCTGCTCCTCCCTTGCCCTCCCAGGCCCCTTTTCTCTTTCTCAGAAGGGCAGGAAGGTATCGACTTAGCAGCATGCTTTGAGTTGTTGTTGTTGTTGTGTTGTTGTTGTTTGAGTGCATGGCCTCTGAGTATGTGCAGAGTGCTTTCCCCCCGGGGAAGGGAAGGAGCATCTCTAGGGAAGGCTCAGAGGTAGAAAGGTGGAAGACTGGGTTCTGGGTAATAAAGAGCAGTGATGAAAACGAATGGGAAATATGGTGGCTTCACCCTGGAGAAGGACAGGCCAAGCTCCTTGGCCAAGATAAGTTTCAGGGAACCAGTGCCAATCAGGAATTGCAGAACCGAGTTAGAGGGATCAGTGTTTGTTTACAGACTTGGGTCCTTTCAGGTGGGATTTTAATCTGACACTTGCTTTGCCTTGTTAATTAAATTTTACAGGGAATCCAGGTAACACCCTGGTCCTTAGTTACTGTCCTGTATTTGCCATTTACTACTTTTCCTTTAAAAAAAAAAAAAACTCAATAGAAAAAACCCATTAAGGAGGAAGAGATGGACTATGTCTTTTGGTCAGAAACCCTAGGAATGGTCCATCCCTAAACTCTTGTCCTATAAGGCAGCATGAGACACTGTTTGATTTTTAAGAGGAGCACAATAACATGGTGCCTCTCTGCACATGTTGCTGGGTTAGTTAGGAACACCAGACTTCGCATGAACTCAGGTATGGGGGTACCAAGGAAAGAGTGCAAGGTGAAAAATGTATCTACCTACCCTCCAGTCAATTTGCATAATTCGAAGAGGCTGAGATAAATTTAAAAGCCTCCAAAACAAACATACAACAAAAGTTTCAGAATAGTATGAAAATGTCCCCAAAGGCAATCTCAACTGAAAAAAAAAAATCTTTTAAAAAATAGCATTTACAGGTAGCAGACTCAACAACTTTTGAATTGTTTCTTAACCAGAGACCTCAAGGAATCCTTGCGTGTGCCTGGTGAACTTTACTGAAAGAGTTTTCAATAGACAGGATCACTGCAGAAAAAACCCTGGAAGACTGCCCAAACTTCCGAATGGTGAAGCATGTTAAGTTGGTACCATCTTTGCTAATGCCTTATATACATAGGTGTGCTATGATAGTACAATCATGTGCTATCTACAATGTGAGCTAATGGTTAAGGCGTTAGGCTAAGAGCAGGGAGGCCCACTTTTGGCCCTGGAAGCTCATTGAATGATTTGGGGCCCATCATTGTCTCTTAGCTCTCTGTGTCTCACAGGGTTGACATGGGGCAAAATAGGATGGAGCAGTATGGATGCCACCTTAAGTTCCTCAATGAAAGATGGGATATAAATCTAATAAATCGCACTGCTGATAGAAATCCTAAAGTTCTGGATTCCCTCCTTCCTGCTTTGGTGGTCAGCCAGAAAGTACAGTCATTTGGTAATCTTATTAGGAACTCAGCATCTTTGATAAGCATGAAGGGTCTTGGAGTGACCCATCAGAAACTCCAGAACCATGGTTAACTCTTACTTTTGAAAAAGAGCCAGGGGGGAGCTTTCCAAGGAGTGGTATCTGAGTTGGAAATCTAGGCCTTTTAATCCTAGAACTGGTTGTGTGTGGGGAAGCAAGGTTCATTGCACTTAGCAGGGCTCCTATTACCTGAGGAGAGAGAATTTTTTTCTCTACCTACAAATGGTCTCATAAGAACAGTTTAATACACTGTTGGGCGTCTGAGCCATATGTAACAAAGAGTGCTCCCAAACCATCGAGTACATACTTCACTTGTTTTTCCCCCCTTATTTTTTTGTAACACAGTGGTGTCACCTTTACAAGGGGGGAAAGTGTAGACATTCTTTTGACAATCAAGGATGACCTGTTCATGTTCACCTTTCCTTTCAGTTATATGGAACCAGGGAGCGGTGGCAAGTTGCAATAAAAGAATAAGAAAATCAGACGATGATGATGATGATGACGACGACGACGATTCTGTTCATCCAAATGAAGATTGCAGTCTCCTTGACTGGGTGTTAACTCCAATGATTTGGGTCCTAGCCAAGACCTAAGAATCATGGAGGTATCATCATCATCTCTTGTAGGGAGGCCCCCTTCTTTCCCTCCCTTCCTCCATCCTCCACCATGTTTATGTTTGGCAGAACAAATACACCAGAAACAATTGGTGCTGTGGAGAGGATTACCTGGAATATTATTCTATGTAAAGAGTAATTGTCACATAACCAAGGACAACAGACGTGAGATCACATCTGTGGTATTTCTTCTCTCACACCTTTTTATTCTAGGCCAGAAGGTGAAAGTGGGATCCAGATGAACCTGGCAACTTTTCAGTGCCCATACTGAATCTCATTTTTGGCAAGGCAGATAAAAATCGATGACCTGTCTCTAAGTTAGCACTGAGCCATAAGATCAACTGGGTTGATTGTTAAGTGTCGTTCAAAAGAAAACTGGGAATTTGTGGGGATAATGAGTGACTCCCCTATTAGAGATCTCTAACTTTCTCATAAATGTAGTAGTATTCCTTAGAGGACTGAGGGGAGTCAAGATGGTTAAACCAAATTCCATTTATAGCAGCCAGGGCAAATCAAGAGATGCTTTGCTTTAGGAAGTGACTGAAGTTACTGAAAAGAGCCACTAGATGGCAAACTGAGCACAGGCAGGAAAAAGGACTTTTATCCCACCAAAGATAATGAATAGTTGTTCTTCTCATCGCTCAAAACTGGTTCTTAGCTTGCAAGGCGAGAGGGCCTGTGAAAGGCCTGCCCTGCTTTTCAGCCATATTGGCACCGGTCATACATGCATCCTGACGCTACATTCAGGATTTAATTTAAGATGGGTTTTTGGCGTACTAGCGCATTTGCTCAAAAATGCTGTTTGCATTTTAGCTGTACTAGAGAAGCTGTTTGTGTTTAGCTGTCATCCAGGTTGGACTCAAGCAAAGGCAGACAAAACCTGAGCTGATTAAAGATGCCACCATCGACACAGTAACCTTGGGAGGAAACTGCTAACTCAGTGGGAATTATATCTGATTGGGGAGAAGAAAACTAACAACTCAGGTTGCATATGGTATCTTGAGCTAGATCTAGTATGTCAGTTTTCAAGTTGTGCTGAGAGCCACCTACCAGAAGAACAAATTTATGCAACAGGGATATTGATAGGAGAAAAATAAGAATGTAAAATTTACCAATGAATTTCACACTTTCAACATTTATTTGTTTGATTTATATCCCACCTTTTCATTCAGCAACACACAGAGCACTCCCTCCTCCTGTTTTTCCCCACAGCAACAACAACCCTGCAAGGTAGACTGGGCTAAGAGAGAGTGACTGGCCTGAAGTCACCCAGTGAGTTTCCATGGCTCAGGGTAGACTGGAACCCGGGTCTCCTGACTCTTAGTCTAACCCCTTAATTACTGTACTACATCCCTTTGGCTCATTTGGGTTTTATACATTTGAGATCTGGGCAGCAAAGTTGACTTCTAATAATAATAATAATTTTTTATTATTATTATTATTTACTGGCTGCCCAACTCCGATGGACTCCACAAACATGGGTTATAAATTTAAAATTTGGCCTCAGAATTAAAACTCAGCACTTTGTGCAGTTTAGTAATTTCATCATGGATAGTTTTCAATAAAGCAACTTTTGAAAGAGATGGTTGGAGGATCAATGCTTGTATTAAATAAATACTATTACCCCATAAAATAGTAGACATCCAATCTATAGTTGCAAGAGGCTCACATGAACAGTAATTTCTACATTGCCAGAATCCCTCCATCAGTCTCAGATTTCTGCTGTCCTACTACAATATCCAAGTGCTCACAACTTGTCAAAAAGATCTTATTGTTAAAGAGAGATCAGGAATGTCTTCTTAAAAAAAAGCATTACCATTTTATGTTCCTTTTCATCAATTTTGAGCAAATGCATCCTTTTCCCCCTTGTTAAATTGCTGTAAATTGCTATACCCTATCACTTTTCAATGTACATCAGCCTTTCCCAGCCTGAGGCTTTCCAGATGTGTTAGGTGTTGTGGTCCCAACACATCTGGAGGGTACTTGCCTGAGGAAGGCTGTCATTGGACGCAAACCCAGGGACCAAAGGCACCAAACAAGGGAAATAACCTTTATTTCATGCTAAGCATTTTATAAACTGCCCCTTTATCAGCTAAGTCTTTATCTGTTTGCACTCTAGTTTTATGGTACTATTTAAGGCTGATACCTTAAACAATCAAGCAGTTATATTAATTAGTTAATCTGATCCACTTTTTTCAAGCAATGTTGAATTATGAAAAGCTAGCTAGCTTAATAAGCCTTTATTTTTAGTATACATACTTATAAAATAATGACCAGCAGTCTGTATCTTAGAACAGGCAATTCTTGTCACATATAAAGAAAAGATTGCTCTTCTAAGTTGTGCAAGGCCCCATCATCTTAAACCCAAGAAAAGGAAGGATAGTCTACTTCCTATATAAAACTACAGGTAGTCCTCATTTAGTGACTGCCTCGTTTAGCAACTTTCATGGTTATGATGGTAAAAGTAACTTTATGACCAATCCTCGCATTTATGACCTTTGCAGGTCTGTAAAGCAAAGGAAAGGTGAAATAAGATCACAAACAGTTGCGATTTCACTTAGCAACTGCTTCACTTAACAACCAAGTTGCCGGTCCCAATTGTGGTTGCTAAGTGAGGACTACCTGTATTCGGATTCACAGCATATCTTATATTTCCAAAGAAAGTCCCATTGACTTTACTTATGCACAAGTAACTGGGCAAAAGATTATACTGTTAATTCATTAACTGATTGTAGTTCATATAGTTAATAAATTCAATCAAGTGGCAACTTAAGGGAATCTTTTTCTAGCTGTATGCAACTCAGAATCCTTTATGTTTCCTCCTCCTCCCTTTCCCCACCCTGGCCATTTCTGTTCTGCTGAAGGCTTCTATGAAACTTGAAAGCTTACATATTCCCACCCCAACATGGTTCGGTAGAATATAGATATACACGATTGCATTTGTTATCTCTAAAGTTCTGGGGTGAGATCTGCCTGAATCAAGATGACAAGTTTCTCTCCTGGCCCAGGAACCTCTCTTTTAGCCCCCTCCCACCAAACCCAGGCGTCCCCTGCCTTTGCCCTCCCTTTCCCCCAGGCCCTCATCTTTCACACTTTCTCATTAAGCTGCTGTCTCTCTCCTGCCAATTTCAGCAGGTTGGGGCAGACCAACCGGTTTCTTTGCCAGGAGGAGAGGAGCAGTGGGGGAAGGAGGGGGTGCCTTTGTCCTGGCAGGGTTCCCCCACACCTGCCAGCCCACCCACCCATTCAGCTGCAGTGTGCATGGACCCCCAAGGACAAGTAGCATGCAACCGCCACCTCTGGCTCAGACTGCCCCCCCTTGCACTCTTTGTCATGTACCCCAATGTTTTACAAACTGACCTCTATTAGACACCCAGACGCAGATCTGGCAGTCAAGAGGCCACGATGACTGATTTATGTGGGGAAGGAAGCAACAGATTTCTGCTTCCCTAAGCAGCTGCGGGGGGGGGGGG